CATCCTGCCTTGTATCAACGATTCAGGTTGGTGGTGGTGGTGGTGTCATGATGTGGTGGATCCATCCTGCCTTGTATCAATGGTTCAGGCTGGTGATGGTGGTGTCATGATGTATTGGATCCATCCTGCCTTGTATCAACGATTCAGGCTGGTGGTGGTGGTGTCATGGTGTGGTGGATTCATCCTGCCTTGTATCAACAATTCAGGCTGGTGGTGTCATGATGTGATGAATCCATCCTGCCTTGTATCAACGATTCAGGCTGGTGGTGTCATGGTGTGGGGGAGATTTTCTTGGCACTATCAAGGTGTACCTAATAAAGTGGCCGGTGCGCGTAATTGTTTTAAGCATGGGTTCCTCCAGGGTATGATGATTGAGTCTGCTTTAGTCCACATTTTTCCTGTACAAAAAAAAATGGTGCCAAAATTGAGGACAACACATAAAGAGCAAAGAACCGTTCTTTCAAGGCCAGAGAATAATGGTTTTCTTGATTTCCCAAAGCAAAGCAGAGCTTGGCCCTTATTCTGCCACTTCTGTAGAAAGTAAAAATGAGAAAACGTTATCTTCTCACCGTAATTAAACACAAGCTTACATGCAGTCACAAGCCCATCTCCAAATTGCCACCCCTCCATTTGCATTTGCTGCTGCTGGCTGTGACAAACACCTGGTTAATACGGCATTTTCTCTGATGTGAAAACAGATGCTCCAATTTCTTTTACATTACCGGCATTTTTCAATTGCTAGTTTGCTTGTGACATTAAATAAAGCAAGTAATTATTCCTCCTTCTAGGGATCCGAACATCTTCTCCTGACACCTTTGATCAGCCAGGTAAACTAATTTGTGATTCAGCTTAGGAGGACATTCCAGCATTGCTAAGATGCCAGAGTTCTACAGATGCCTGGTTTTCAGGTGGCTCAGTTGCTTCTTCTTCAAAGTTTTGCTGTCCTTCTGAGTTGAGATGGTCCACTTGTGGCTGCCCCAGATGCCTGGTTTTCAGGTGGCTCAGTTGCCTTCAAGCAGTGCTGGGACAAGGTCAACCACTGCCCAGTGCAAAGATGGCAGAAAACTGCGCAACACCCCTACCCCCCATGTGGAGGTGGGGATGGGGCTAATATTGACGTGTGCAGTGTGCTATGCCAAAATGTATGTAATGCTCGTGGGAAGGAGGGGCTGAATGTCTCTAAGGGAGGGAGGAAGCTACGGTGCTCTTGTGGGGTTTTAGGAGGAAAGAGGAGGTCTAGGGATGAGTTGTCCCTCCACCCTCTGTCAACTCCATCAGTTCAGACCTTCTTCTCAATGCAGCCCACAGACTGAGGTTTCAGGTCAGCAGAGGCTGCCTAACCAAGGGTGGACTGTGATCTAAGAGGGACTCTGTTGGGGTCTCATTCAACTCTAAAACATATTTTACAGGCCAAACAAAGTGTAAGATCGGCACAGCCCTGTATTAGTAATGAATGACTGTATGCCGGGGGGTCCACCATTATATTCCTTCTTCCTTTATCCTATGTCAGCATCTCATAGTTTAGCGTCACCCTCATGCTGGATGGTGGCTAGAAAAAAAAACATTGCCGGGTGAAAGCCATCTGTCCTCTTGATAGTTTGCCATTATTAATAGCGCTGACTGGAGCCTGTTGAGTTTTGATGCATTGTTCTACAGTTCTCGGTGCAAGCATCAGTAACTTTCCGCATCGGTCTTCAGATTTATACGCTTCCTTTCTAAGTGTTTATATGACTTAGCTGTCCAAGAATTCTATAGCAAAGGTGGCAAGGATTGATCATCACTTAGTGTTTTCCATGTGTCAGGTTCCTTGGCATGGTACGTTGACGTTATTGAACTTGATGAATGGAGTAAAAGCATTTTGAAGAAGCTTATTTAGGCCTAAAGTCCAACTTGGGGCTGGAGAAAAAAACCCTGACAGTGCCCCTCCCCTGCATTACGAGGGAGGGTTAAATGCTCATTAGGAGGAGATGGAACCCAGCATTGCACATAGAGGTGGCAAAAGTGCAACCCCCGGTCAGGAGTTCCTCAGAGAGGGGCCGATTGCACCACTGAAGGGACCCTTTTGGAGTGAGGATTAAGGTAAGTAAAGAAAGCTTAAAGTCTTGTCTGACTTAGGCTGACCATAAACAGGCAGATCCTTCAATATAGGAGATCCAGGAATAAAAGTGTTGGTGGTGCTCTGGGTGCTAGTGTGGTGATTTGCTTTGCTTCAGTTGGTTAATTGGTTTGGTTGAGAGGTGTGAGTTTTAAACCCATAGTAGGAGGTAGAAAGCATCTTTTAAGATGCCACCAAGCTCTGGTTGGTCCACAGAAGAACACACATGTGCAACACCTGAAAAACTGAGCTCTTAGTATTCCCCCCAGCCCGTGCCCCTTCCCCCGACTTCTCCATCAAGATCAATAACACAATCATTAGTCCCTCCCCTCATGCCAGGGTATGCGGTGTAATCCTAGACTCCCATCTGTCCTTTCAGTCCCAAATCCAATCGCTGTCCAAATCTTGTAGACTTCACCTCCGCAACATCTCCAACCTCCGCCTCCGCAACATCTCCAACCTCCGCAACATCTCTAAGATCTCCAAGATACGCCCGTTCCTAACTCCGGAAACTACTAAGCAACTTATTCACTCCCTTGTTATATCTCACCTTGACTATTGTAACTCCCTCCTCATTGACCGACCTCATCGCAGGCTATCCCTTCTTCAGTCTATCATGAATGCTTCTGCCAGACTCATCCACCTTACTAACCATTCTGTATCAGCCACCCCTCTCTGCCAATCCCTCCACTGGTGTCCTCCACCCCTCTCTGCCACCCTCAGTGTCCTCAGTGTTCTTCATCCCTCTCTGCCAATCCTTCCACTGGCCTCCGCTCAGTGTCCTCCATCCCTCTCTGCCAATCCCTCCACTGGCCTCCACTCAGTGTCCTCCACCCCTCTCTGCCAATCCCTCCACTGGCTTCCCGTTGCCCAACAATAAAATTCAAAACATTAACAATAACGTATAAAGCCATTTATAACTCCGCCCCAAATTAAATCACCGATCTTGTCTCCAAATACCACCCAAACCGTACTCTCCGCTCCTGGCAAGACCTCCTACTCTCTAGCTCCCTTGTCTCCTCCTCCCATGCTCGTCTCCAGGACTTCTCCAGAGCTTCCCCCATCCTCTGGAACTATCTACCCAAATTTATCAGACTCTCGCCTACTCTGCTCACTTTTAGGTGAACCTATCTCTTCATGGAAGCCTATCCTTCCCTCAGCTAATAATGGAATCTTCTACTCCTCCTACCAGTCCATTCCCCACAGTTACTACCATTTGTACCACTAGCCCCTCCCTCCTAGATTGTAAGCTCCAAGGATCAGGGCCCTCCTTTCCCTCTGCCCTGCCAGTGGTGACTCCTGTCCTCTGCCCTGCCAGCAGTTATGATTAAGCACGAGATCGTGTGAAACACGTTAACAAGTCCTGTATTCACGTCCTGGTGTTTTGTGTGTCCTATGGATCAATAAATACACACTATATTCATCTATCCTCTGGTGTGCGGCTGACCCTTCTTCCTCTGCCCTGCCATCAATGACCCCTGTCCTCTGCCCTGCCATCAATGACCCCTGTCCTCTGCCCTGCCACCAATGACCCCTGTCCTCTGCCCTGCCAGCAGTGACCCCTGTCCTCTGCCCTGCCAGCAGTGACCCCTGTCCTCTGTCCTGCCAGCAATGACCCCTGTCTTCTGCCCTGCCAGCAGTGACCTCTGTCCTCTGCCCTGCCAGCAATGACTCCTGTCCTCTGCCCTACCAGCAATGACCCCTGTCCTCTGCCCTGCCAGCAGTGACCCTTGTCTTCTGCCCTGCCAGCAGTGACCCCTGTCTTCTGCCCTGCCAGCAATGACCCCTGTACTCTGCCCTGCCAGTATTCACCCCTGTCCTCTGCCCTGCCAGCAATGACCCCTGTCTTCTGCCCTGCCAGCAGTGACCCGTGTTTTCTACCCTGCCAGCAGTGACCCCTGTCTTCTGCTCTGCCAGCAGTGACCCCTGTCCTCTGCCCTGCAAGCAGTGTCCCCTGTCTTCTGCCCTTCCAGAAATGACCCCTGTCCTCTGCCCTGCCAGAAATGACTCCTGTCCTCTGCCGTACCAGCAATGACCCCTGTCCTCTGCCCTGCCAGCAGTGACCCCTGTCCTCTGCCCTACTTGCATTGACCCCCTGTCTTCTGCCCTGCCAGCAATGACCCCTGTACCAACAATCTGCCCTGCCCTCAGTATTCACTCCTGTCCTCTGCCCTGCCAGCAGTGACCCCTGTCCTCTGTCCTGCCAGCAATGACCCCGGTCTTCTGCCCTGCCAGCAGTGACCTTTGTCTTCTGCCCTCCCTGCAGTGACCCCTGTCCTCTGCCCTGCCAGCAGTGAACCCTGTCCTCTGTCCTGCAGCAGTGACCCCCTGTCCTCTGTCCTGCCAGCAGTGACCCCTGTCCTCTGTCCTGCCAGCAGTGACCCCTGTCCTCTGCTCTGTCAGTATTCACCCCTGTCCTCTGCCCTGCCAGCAATGACCCCTATCCTCTTCCATGCTGACTACCCATTCTCTGCCGTCCTACATTTTTTACTGCACCCCCACATCAGACAGGCTAGATCCAGCCCTGCATATCGCACTAGTTTTTTCTTGACCTTTTTTTTTTTTAGAAATTTTTATTTAAGAAAGACGGCAATTTGCAAAATAATAAAAAAAAACAAAAAAAAAAACAAAAGAAGATGTACCCATAGATACAAGATCCTGCCACAAGCTTCTAACACTCAGAGCAGCAGTACAAATCCGTGGTATGAAACGACTGGCATTGTTAGAGCGGACAATTTACCAGATTACTCTCATGACTGCCGGGGGTTCCGTACCGTACATAAAGGAAAAGAAGGACATAAACCTAGATTTCCAGGACCCTTCTAACCAGCGACCCAAAAAAAGAGGTCACAGTGAGAGCAAATATGGGGTGTACCTACGACACACAGGGGCGGACTGACAAATCATGGGGTCCCCGGGCAATAGGTGATCATGGGGCCCCTGTGTCCTTGCCCACACTCAAAGCACACCCAAAAAAGCCTATAAAAAGGTACCAGGGTCATTTCATGGGGCCCCCTACTGACCCCGGGCCCTCGGGCAGTGCTCAAGTACTCAAATGTTCACACGATCAGAAAATCGTGCGAAAAAATATCGCTTTTGAAGCGGTCGTATAATAATTCGAACATGCTGGGGTCAAGCGTGGATCTATACTGCGACAAAAAAAAAAAGTTAACAAAACCAAAGATGGACAGGCGGACCCGATCGGCCTTCTCGTATAAAAGGGGCCCTAAGTGTGCAGGCCAGCCCCTCCTCACCCCCACCCACTGAGTTCCAGAGACTTCTCCAAGTCTCTAGATCAGGGGGAGGTATCAGGGAACTGACCTGCAGAGCCTTCAGCCCTGACCTAAATTAGACCCCGCTGACTCACGCCCAGGCTGCTATTCTTACCTATCTCTTCAGGGAAGCCTATCCTGCCCTCGGCTAATAATGGAATCTTCTACTCCTCCTACCAGTCCATCCCCCACAGTTACTACCTTTTGTACCACCAGCCCCTCCCTCCTAGATTGTAAGCTCTGAGGACCAGGGCCCTCCTATCCCTCTTGTATTGAGCTGTATTGTTGCTGTATTGTTTCCCGTTATATTGTAAAGCGCTGAGCAAACTGTTGGCCCCATATAGATCCTGTATAATAATATAATATATTAAAAATAAATAATAATAATTAAATAAAAATAATAAATATAAAAATGAAACAAAAATAAACTAAAAGAATAATAATAAATATATATAATTTATAATAATAATAATATAATATATTAAAAATAAATAATAATAATAATAATAATTAAATAAAGATAATAATTATAAAAATGAAACAAAAATAAACTAAAAGAATAATAATAAATATATATCCTGTATAATAATAATAATAATAATATAATATATTAAAAATAAATAATAATTAAATAAAAATAATAATTATAAAAATGAAACAAAAATAAACTAAAAGAATAATAATAAATATATATCATGTATAATAATAATAATATAATATATTAAAAATAAATAATAATAATAATAATAATTAAATAAAGATAATAATTATAAAAATGAAACAAAAATAAACTAAAAGAATAAATAAATATATAAATATATATTCTGTATAATAATAATAATAATAATAATATAATATATTAAAAATAAATAATAATAAATAATTAAATAAAAATAATAATTATAAAAATGAAACAAAAATAAACTAAAAGAATAATAATAAATATATATCATGTAATAATAATAAATAATAATAATAATAATAATATATTAAAAATAAATAATAATAATAATAATTAAATAAAGATAATTATAAAAATGAAACAAAAATAAACTAAAAGAATAATAATAATAAATATATATCCTGTATAATAATAATAATAATAATAATAATAATATATATAAAAATAAACTAATAATAATAATAATTAAATAAAAATAATAATACATATAAAAATGAAACAAAAATAAACTAAAAGAATAATAATAAATATATATCCTGTATAATAATAATAATAATAATAATAATATAATATATTAAAAATAAATAATAATAATAATTAAATAAAAATAATACATATAAAAATGAAACAAAAATAAACTAAAAGAATAATAATAAATATATATCCTGTATTATAATAATAATATTCAGCCTATTAAAAAAAAATAGCTAGCTCCCCCTAGCCAGCCAGAGGGGTGCTACAGCATTTTATGTGTGACCCAATTCCTCTCCTTCCAATGTGGCCCAGGAAAGGCAAAAGGTTGGACACCCCTGATTTAAATCTTATCACAGATATTAAAATCCATTCTTCACTTGGGTGCAATAGTCGCAGCAACGATGGCAAAGATGAAGCGTTTCCGAGAAGTCCTGCATATTCGGATGATGTCACCACCAGGCAGGCCACTCGGTGCTTGTTAGCCGCTTCAAGGCATATCTCTGATGATCCTAATTGTAGGGCCTCTTTATAATGAAGATTTGTGACCCTCCTCACTGGAGATTTAGGGGTCAATTATCACTTCAGGGGAAGGGAAACGCTTCTTCACATTTTTCCAGATATACTTCTGGTGGCCCCTGAATACAATGGAGTAAAAAAAAAAACAAAAACCTTCTGAACAAGCTTTTTTAGGGCTGATAATAGTTTCCTCTTCCTTTTTTCACCTTAGGGCCCCATGAACCCGGACGTTTCTGAACGATGGGAACTGACTGCTGGAAAATGTAGATTAAAAAACGTCCGTTTGCATGAAATGTATGGTGCACAGGGGGGGTGACGGGTGTGGCAGAGGGGGGCAATTACTGGAACCGATCCCCTGTATGGCTCTCTCTGCAGCAGCTGAAAGCCGGCTTCTTCTCCTCTCCCTCCCGCTGGCATTCAGCTGCTGCAGAGAGAGCCATACAGGGGATCGGTTCCAGTAATTGCCCCCCACACTGCACCCATCACCCTCCCTGTGCACATCCAATTCACCCAGCTGCCTGGGCCCCCCTGCTGGCCTGGGCCCCGTACAGGAGGACTGGTGGTGCCCCCTTATCCAGGGCCCTGGACACACACCCCCTTCACACAGCACACAGGAACAGAGCTGAAGCTGTAAATCACAGGCTGTGTGCTGGAGAACCTTCCCCGTCACCTTTTTTATCTCTCGGTGTCAGAAGTGACTCATGCAGATAGAAGTGGAAGGAGGCAGCAGACCAGGGGTGGACTGACCATTCGAGCACTCAGGCACTGCCCGAGGGCCCGGGGTCAGCAGGGGGCCCCATGAAATGCCCCTGGTACCTTTTTATAGGCTTTTTTTGAGTGTGAGCAAGGAAACTGGGGCCCCATGATCCCCTATTGCCCGGGGGCCCCATGAGTTGTCAGTCCTCCCCTGCAGCAGACAGATATGACACTTGAGGGTTGATTTATTACAACTGGAGAGTGCAGAATCCGGAGCGGCTGTGCATGGCAGCCAATCAGCTACTAACGTCAGCTTGTTCAATGAACCTTCGACAAAAAAAAAAACCTGGAAGATGATTGGTTTCTATGCAGAGCCGCACCAGATTTTCCACTCTCTTCAACCCCTCTGTGCTCTGGACTGGGACAAGTACACACGATAGAGGGATGTGCTTTGTTCATATTTCATGTCTGAGGTTTAGTTTTTCAGAAATAATTGTCCTCAGTCTTTGCAGGTTGAACGATGTCCAACTATAATCCGTTTCTAGTTAAAGCACGCACGTTCATACTACTACTACTGGAAGTTTCATAATCCGCCTCCCGTAAGAAGTCGATTTTGCGAGCGAATACCATTCTGCGATGAGATTTAAAAAAAAAAAAAGAAAAGAAAAAAAAAAACCTGAAGCTGATTGGTTTCTACGCAGAGCCGCACCGGATTTTCCACTCTCCAGTTTCAGTAAAACAGCCCCTTAGTGCTCTGGACTGGGGCAAGTAGACACGATAGAGGGATGTGCTTTGTTCATATTCCATGTCTGAATTTTAATCTTTCATAAATAATTGTCCTCAGTTTTTTGCAGGTTGAACGATGTCCAACTATAATCAATTTCTAGTTAAAGCACGCACGTTCATACTACTACTACTACTGGAAGTTTCATATTCCGCCTCCCGTAAGAAGTCGATTTTGCGAGCGAATACCATTCTGCGATGAGTTTTAAAAAACAAAATAAAAAAGAATCCTGGAAGCTGATTGGTTTCTACGCAGAGCCGCATCAGATTTTCCACTCTCCAGTGTTAGTAAATCAACCCCTCAGCAGGGGCGGACTGACAACTCATGGGGCCCCCGGGCAATAGGGGATCATGGGGCCCTCGCGTCCTTGCCCAAACTCAAAAAAAGGTACCAGGTACCAGGAGCATCTCATGGGGCCCCCTACTGACCCCGGGCCCTCGGGCAGTGCCCGAGTTTACAAATGGTCAGTCCGCCCCTGCCCCTCAGTGCTCTGGACTGGGACAAGTACACACTATAGAGGGATGTGCTTTGTTCATATTTCATGTCTGAGGTTTAATTTTTCAGAAATAATTGTCAGTCTTTGCAGGTTGAACGATGTCCAGATATAATCCGTTTTTAGTTAAAGCACGCACGTTCATACTACTACTACTGGAAGTTTCATATTCCGCCTCCCGTAAGAAGTCGATTTTGCGAGCGAATACCATTCTGCAATGAGTTTAAAAAAAAAAAAAAAAAAAAAAAAAACCTGGAAGCTGATTGGTTTCTACGCAGAGCCGCACCAGATTTTCCATTCTCCAGTTTTACTGAAACAGCCCCTCAGTGCTCTGGACTGGGGCAAGCACACACTATAGAGGGATGTGCTTTGTTCATATTCCATGTTTGAATTTTAATCTTTCATAAATAATTGTCCTCGGTTTTTGCAGGTTGAACGATGTCCAACTATAATCAATTTTTAGTTAAAGCACGCACGTTCATACTACTACTACTGGAAGTTTCATATTCCGCCTCCCGTAAGAAGTCGATTTTGCGAGCGAATACCATTCTGCAATGAGTTTTAAAAAAAAAAAAAAAAGAAAAAAAAAAAACCTGGAAGCTGATTGGTTTCTACGCAGAGCCTCACCAGATTTTCCATTCTCCAGTTTTACTAAAACAGCCCCTTAGTGCTCTGGACTGGGGCAAGTACACACAATAGAGGGATGTGCTTTGTTCATATTCCATGTCTGAATTTTAATCTTTCAGAAATAATTGTCCTCAGTCTTTGCAGGTTGAACGATGTCCAGATATAATCCATTTCTAGTTAAAGCACGCACGTTCATACTACTACTACTGGAAGTTTCATATTCTGCCTCCCCCGTAAGAAGTCAATTTTGCGAGCGAATACCATTCTGCAATGAGATTTAAAAAAAAAAAAAAACAAAAAGAAAAAAAAACCTGGAAGCTGATTGGTTTCTACGCAGAGCCGCACCTGATTTTCCACTCTCCAGTTTTAGTAAAACAGCCCCTCAGTGCTCTGGACTGGGGCAAGCACACACGATAGAGGGATGTGCTTTGTTCATATTTCCATGTCTGAATTTTAATCTTTCAGAAATAATTGTCCTCAGTCTTTGCAGGTTGAACGATGTCCAGATATAATCCATTTCTAGTTAAAGCACGCACGTTCATACTACTTCTGGAAGTTTCATATTCCGCCTCCCGTAAGAAGTCGATTTTGCGAGCGAATACCATTCTGCAAGAAAATAAATAAAAAAAATAAAAAAAAAAAAAAAAAAAAAAAAAAAAAAAAAAAAAAAAAAAAAACTTCCAGAATTTGTATAAACGTCCCTTTTTTAAAACTAGAAATGGTTTTATATCTGGACTTCGTTCAACCGCAAAGATTTGGGACAATTTTTTTCTGAAAGATTTAAAATTAAAGACAGGGGTAAATGAACAAAGAAACACCCCTCTATTGTGTGCCTGCAGGGGTCACCATTGTTGCTGGGGGTGTCTTATTTGGCAGGGGGATATATTGTAGTGCTGGGGGATTCTATTGTGTTGCCTGAGGTGATTATTGGTTGAATGGAGGGGGATCTCTTTTTGGATGGGGGGGCATCATGTGTTATGCAGGGCGTATCTATGTTTCCGTTCGTAGGGGTCTATTATTGAAGGGGTGTCTTTTTTTTGCTGGCGTGAATCTATTGTTTGCTGGGGGGATATATGTTGGGTTTAAACCTGCAAAGACGGGGGAAAAAATTTAAATTCTAAAAAAGTTTTTTTTTTAAAAAATTCGACATGGAATATGAACAAAGCACATCCCTCTATTGTGTGTACTTGCCCGGGTCAGGCACAAAGGGGGCTGTTTTAGTAAAACTGGGAATGGAAAAATCTGGTGAGGCTCTGGGGAAAAAACCAAAATCAGTTTCCAGGTTTTTTTTCTTTTTTTTTTTTTTTTTTAAAAACCATTCCCAAAATGGTATTCGTTTCGAAAAATCACTTCTTACGGGAGGGGGAAATTTTTGAAATTTCCATTTGGAATAGTATGAAGGTGCGTGTTTTAAAACTAAAATTTGGGATTATTTTTTGGACATCGTTAAACCTGAAAAAACCCGGAGGAAAATTTTATTTATGAAAGTTTAAAAATTTCAAACAGGGAATTTAATGAAAAAAAGCAAAATCCCTCTATAGTTTTGTGCTTGCCCCATCCAAAAGCATGGGGGGTTTTTTTTGGGGTTTCAGTAAAATTTGGGAATAAAAAAATCGGGTGGGGGCTCTGCGTAAAACCAATCAGCTTCCAGGTTTTTTTTTTTTGTTTTTTTTTTTTTAAAAATCATTGCAGAATGGTTTTCGCTCGCAAAATCGACTTTTTAAAGGGGGGCGGATTAGGGAAACTTCCTAGTAGTGGGTTTTGAACTTGCGTGCTTTTTAACAAAAAAGGGTTTAAAATTTTGGGACATCGTTAAACCCTGAAAAACTGAAAATTATTTCTGAAAAAAAAAAACCTCAGACTTAAAATATGAAAAAAACACATCCCCTATAGGGGTGAAATTGTCCCAGCCCAAAAGCACGAGGGGCAGGGGGACTGACCATTTGTAAACTGGGGCCCAGCCCGGGGGGCCCGGGGGTAGAAAGGGGGGCCCCAAGAGTTTGCTCCGGGTTTCCGGGAAACCTTTTTTTTGAGTTTGGGAAAGGGACGCGAGGGCCCCATGATCCCCAATTCCCCGGGGGGCCCCATGATTTTGTCATTCCCCCCCTGTTTGAGGGGGGGGGATTTACTAAAAGGGAATTTGGAAAATCTAAATGGGGCCTGCGTAAAAACCAATCAGTTCCAGGATTCTTTTTTATTTTTTTTTTTAAAAAAACCATCGCAGAAGGGTATTCGCTCGCAAAATCGCCCTTCTTACGGGAGGCGGAATATAAAACTTCCAGTGTAGAATAGTATAAACGTGGGGTGCTTTAATTTGAAATTGATTATAGTTGGACATAGTTAAACCCCTGAAAAAACCTGGGGAAAATTTAAATTTATGAAAAAAAAAAAAATTCGGGAAGGGGAATATGAACAAAGCACATCCCTCTATCGTGTCTACTTGCCCAGTCCAGAGCACTAAGGGCTGTTTTACTGAAACGGGAGAGGGGAAAAATTTCGGTGGGGGCTCTGCGTAGAACCAATTCAGTTCAGGGGTTTTTTTTTTTTTCTTTTTTTTTTTAAATCTCATCGCAGAATGGTTTTTCGCTCGCAAACCCGGACTTCTTGGGGAGGGGGAAATTATGAAATTCCAGTAGTATTAGTATGAACTGCTTTTGGTTTTTAACTAAAACGGTTATAGTTGGCCCATGTTAAAACCCCTGCAAAGACTGAGGACAATTTTTTTTGGAAAAAACTAAACCTCAGACTTTAAAATTATAAAACAAAGCACACCCCTCTATCGTGTGTACTTGCCCTTTTTCCAGAGAAACAGGGGGGTTGAAGAGGTGGAAAATTTGGGTTTGCGGTCTGATAAAAAAACCAAAATCATTTTCCGGGGTTTTTTTTTTTTGTCGAAGGTTCATTGAAAAAAAGCTGACTTTTAGTAGCTAAATTGGCTGCCATGCACGGGCCGCCCCGGATTCTGCCTTCCAGTTGTAAAAAATTAACCCTAAAAGTGTCATATTGTCTCGGGCGGGGGAGGACGCAACTAGGGGGCCCCCGGGAAATTGGGGGACCCGGGGGCCCCCCAAAGTTTCCTTGCTCACACTCAAAAAAAGCCAAAAAAAGGTCCCAAAGGGGCATTTCAGGGCCCCCCCCTGCTAAACCCCGGGCCCTCGGGCAGTGCCTGAGTGCTCGAATGGTCAGTCCCCCCTGGCCCTTGCTGTTTCCTTTCCATTTCTATCTGAAATGAGTCACTTCTGACCCCGGAGATAAAAAAGGTGAGGGGGAAAAGGGTTCTCCGGGCAAAACAGCTTTTAAATTTACAGCTTCGCTCTTTTTCCTGTGTGCTGTGTAAAGGGGGGGGTGTGTGTCCGGGCCCCCGGGATGGGGGGGCACCACCAGTCCTCCTGTACGGGGCCCGGGGGCCCACGGGGGGGCCCAGGCAGCTGGGTGAATTTGGGATGTGAAACAGGGGGGGTGAGGGGTTGCAGTGGGGGGGGGGCAATTACTGGAACCGCCCCCTGTAGGGCTCTTTTTGCAGCAGCTGGGGGGGCCGGGGGAAAGGGAGAGGAGAAGAACCCGGGCTTTCAGCTGCTGCGAAAAGGGGCCATACGGGGGATGGGGTTCCCAGTAATTCCCCCCCTCCCCACCCCCTTTCCCCCCCCCTTTTCCACCATACATTTCATGAAAAACGGCCCGTTTTTTAATTACTTTTTTCCAGCATTTTCATTTCCCCAAATCGTTCAGAAACGCCCCGGGTTTTCATGGGGCCCAAAGGTAAAAAAAGGGAAAGGGGAAAATATTATCAGCCCTAAAAAAGTTTGTTCAAAAAGGTTTTTTTTTTTTTTTTACTCCTTTGTTTTCCCAGGGGCCACCAAAAAGTATATCTGGAAAAATGTGAAGAAAAGCGTTTCCCTTCCCCTGAAGTGAAAAATTTTGACCCCTAAATCCCCAGTGAGGGGGGGCTCAAATTTCATTATAAAAAAGGCCCTAAAATTTGGGATCATCAAAAGATATCCCTTTTAAAAGGGGGCCCCCCTAAAAGGGGGGGGGCCACCGAGGGGGGGGCCTGCCTGGTGGTGACATCACCCGAATTTTCAGGGGGGGGGGGGGGGGGGGGGGTTTGAGGACCGCGCAATTGGCATTCAAAGGGTGAAGCGTTGAAACCTAAAAATGGCCTGGGCAGGAAGGTGTAAATTTCCCGTATTGAATGGTTAAAAAGCCTAGAGAAAGTGCTTTATTGATTTTGGGGTCCTGTACTCTGGCTAACCTGCCAAAACGTCTCTCACATGTGTACCCCCATACTCAGAGAAGTAGCAGAATGTATTTGGGGGATAATTCTACAGATACCCATGGCATGTGTGAGCAATAAATCATTTAATGACAATTTCCTGAAAAAAAAATTTTCAAATAAATAATAAAAAAATAATTTTTAATATAAGAAATAAAAATAATCTAATTCTTGTTTTTAATTTTTATATTTAAAGGTTTAATATATTTTATTATTACTTATATTATTTTATATATATTATATA